TACTAAATCAGAATCTGGGTGTAGGGTATAGGAGGCAGCCTGTGTTTTTAGGAACCCTCCAAATGATTCTGATTCATATCCAAGCTTGAGAGACCCTGACATAACCCAGACAACTTCTAGCCTTCGTAAAGATGACTGAATTTTATCAAGTGTTATGGAAATCCATTTCAGTAAATGTAAACAACATTAAGTCTGAGGTACAGCAATATCAACATTCTTCCCATTCTGTTCTTAGAAAGTGATGTGGTTTTCCCAAGCCTTTCCCGTCCTGTCTGTGAGGTTTCGTGAGGTACTCCACCATAAAACATCCTGTAATCAAATGAGTTTGATACAATTAATTAAAAACAAAATAATATGGGGTTTTTCTTGTAGAGCACCTGACTTTTAATATGCCATCGAACCAGCTCAGCAGTACTTAACCACACAGTATTTTGAATCTTTCAAGAATATAGAACACAGCTGAATTTCCCAAACTATTTAAATCACTGAACTCTGTTTGCAAGGAATAGCTCCTAGAATGAGTAATATGTAGAACCCAATTAAAGTGATCCACAGCTCCATCTCTTGATTGGGCTCATGAGGAACCTGTACGTAGTAGAGTAAGAGACAGGCATTGAGGTAGAAGGAGGGGGACACTGAATCATTTAAAGGCAGAAAAGGTGTGTGCCAGGGCTGTGTTCTTTCACCACACTTATACATTCTGTATACTGAGCAGATAATCTGAGACACTGGATTATATGAAGAAGAATGTGGAATACTCATTAATAACCTGCAATATGCAGATGATACAACCTTGCTTGTTGGAAGTGAAGAAGGTTTTAAAAACTTATTGATGAAGATCAAAAACAGCCTTCAGTATGGGTTGCACCTCAATGTAAAGAAAACAAAAATCTTCCAACTGGACCAATAAATAACATCATGACTAAAGGAGAAAAGATTGAAATTGTAAAAGACTTCATCTTGCTTGGATCCACTATCAACACTCATGAAAGCAACAGTCAAGAAATCAAACAACATATTGCACTAGGCAAATCTGCTGCACAAGACCTCTATAAAGTGTTCAAGAGCAACGATACCAGTTTGAGAACGAAGGTGCACATGACCCAAGCCATGGTATTTTCAGTAGCCCCATATGCATGTGAAAGTTGGACAATGAATAAGGACGGCCGTAGAAGAATTGAAGCATTTGAGTTACAGTGTTGGAGAAGAATATTGAAAGTACCATGGATTGCCAGAAGAAACAAACAGGCCTGTGTTGAAAGAGGGACAGCCACAATTCTCCTTGGAGGCAAGGATGGTGAGACTTCATCTTTCATACTTTGGATGTTTTATCAAGAGGAACCAGTCCATGGAGAAGGACATTATTCTTGGTAAATTGAAGTGTTGGTGAAAAAGAGAAGACCCCCAATAAGATGGACTGACACCATGGCAGCAGCAATCGGCTCAACCATGGCAACAGTTGATAGCATGGCGTAGGACCAGGCAATGGTTTGTCCTCTTGTGACTTGGGCTGCCTACTGGCTCAGTGGCACCTAACAGCTCCTTCTGATTCAGCATGAGAGTACCCAAAGGGAGCACAGGAAAAATGGAACATAACCACAGTGCCTAGCAATAAGCAATCTTAAAAAACAAAAAATGAAACGTTGATTTTTAAAACTCAGGGCACTAAAGGAATACTGTATGTTTTTAAATCCTGAGTGTAGATATTGTTGTTGTTTGGTGCTCTGACTCATAGCAAGCTTATGCGCAACAAAACAAAACACTGCCCACTCCTTCGCCATCCTCACAGTGGCTGTTGTGTTTGAGTCCATTGTTGTCTCAGAACCACTGGATCTCAGTACATCTCACTGGGTGTTTTCTTCTGTCTCACACTCCACTAGGCATGATGTCCTTCTTCAGGAACTGGGCTCTCCTGGCAACATATCCAAAGAAGTCTTGCCATGTTCATTCTCAAGGAACATTCTGACTGTGCTTCTTCAAAGACAGATTTGTTTGTTCTTCTGGTGGTCCATGGTACTGTCAACACCACAATTTAAATGCATCCATTCTTCTTTAGTCTTCCTTATTCATTATCCACCAGTCACATGCATTTGAGGCTATTGAAAACGCCATGGTTTGGGTCAAGTGTACCGTAGCCTTTCTGCTGTTAGGTATTTTAACTGTTGCTGCTTCTCTGAACGTTTGATGTTCCAAGTTGAGGCTTGAAGTTTTTTCTTCAGTTCTTTGAGCTTGAGAAATGTTGAGTATGTATTCCCTTTTGGTTTTCTAACTCCAGGTCTTCGCACATTTTATTATAATGCTTTTTTTTGGTCTTCTTGAGCCGTCCTTTGAAATTTTCTCCATAGCTCTTTACTTCATCATTTCTCCCATTCGCTTTAGCTGCTCTGTGTTCAAGGGTGACTCTCAGAGTCCCTTCTGATAACCACTTTGGCTTTTCTTTCCTGTCTTTTAATGATCTTTTGCTTTCTTCATGCACGATGTTCTTGATGTCATCCCGCAATTCCTCTAATCTTTGGTCATTAGTGTTCAGTGCATCCTCTTGAAATCGCTTCTAAATTCAGGTGGGATGTGTTGTTGTCGTCGTTGTTGTTGTTGTGAGGTGCTGTCAATTTGGTTCCAACTCGTAACGACCCTGTATAGGGCTTTTAAGGACTGCCTGGTGAGTTTGAACCACGGACTTTGTGATTCAAACAACCATGTGGTCCAGTGCTTATCCCATAGTGCCACATCAGGGTCCCGGTGGGATATACTCAAGGTCATATTTTGTCTCTCGTGACCTTGTTTTAATTTTCTTCAGTTTCAACCTGAATAATTGTGATGTTGTTGGAAAATATACAAAGGTAAATACAAGACCATGGCAACTTGGTTCTGCTTCTTTTTTCTTCATCTAATAGAAATATGAGCAGCAACATTCTGGGCAAGAGACAACCAGACCATTTGTACAGACCTAGGAAGTGATAATAATGATAATGAGAAAAAGAAAAAAAGAGCCCACTAACAATCATTGAGTGTTTATTATGAACTGGACACTTCCAAGCTCTTTATAGTTTACTGATCTCATCCTCACAGTACTCATTTCCCGTTTATACAGATAGAGAAACCGTGAGATATGTTTGCTAATGACTCAGATTTACATCACTGGGGTGTAGGGGAGTTAGGATTCAGTACCAGGCAGTCTGAGTCCAGAGCTTGTGCTGTTTCACTTAGCTCTCCTCCTCAGACTTAACCACTGGAATGTAATTGATTAACAGAATCAATGAAAAGATAAACTAACACTTCAAGGCAGGATGTGATAGGTTAAATGAATGGTTAGCTTACAAACACGTGTCTGTGGATGAGAGAAGAAAGGAGGAGTGAGCAGCAACCCTGGCTATTAAGGAAACTGGTTCTGGAAGATGTTCTTTTAGAAAGTCTTCTAGAGTCAAACTAGCTGTTGTGACCTGAGAAAATTTTATAAAGGTAACTGGGAGAGTCTGAGTCTGCTGTGCTTTGCTGCAATTGACCTTTCGCGGTTCTTTTGTAGGAATATGTGAAATTGATCAAATGACATTTAACAATAACAACAAAAGTCCCTGCTTTCCTCAAGGCCTCATTTGGCAAAGACTGTTGAACTCCAGTTGACAGGTTAGGTGCTGAGAATAGAAAAATGGTTTGAGACCTGTCCCAGTGTTTGTAGTCTACATTATAGTTAGGGAAATAAGACAATTATGTTTGGATTTTTGTATATTTATCCCCATGGTTTCCCAGAAAGGATTTCTGGATAGAGATAAGCTATGTATGCACAGACCTTTTGTTAATCACACACTGTACAAATACTGTGAAATGTCGAATGTTGAGAGAAAAGTTGATTTTAAAAGTGTTAATATCAAAGGTTTGGGAGCCTAAAGCAGAGTTCAGGTGCCCTGGTGTTGCTGTGGTGAAGCGCTTGGCTGCTAACTGACGGGTTGGCAGTTTGAACCCACCAGCTGCTTTGTGGGAGCAAGACGTGGCAGCTGCTTCTGTAAAGATTAAAGCCCTGGAGACCCGGTGGGGCAGCTCTCCTCTGTCCTGGAGGGTTCCGCTGAGTCAGAATTGATTCCACAGCTGTGGGTAAGCCAGAGTTTAAGGGCATTGTGGTAAGTAACATCAGCCACAGACATTGACCAATGACACATTTTATAGCCCATGCCACTGAGCTCTGCTTAGGGTGCCAACCCTTTGGGGCCAGTGAGAGTTGGAGACTTGAATGTCTCCTCAGATCTGTCTGTCATGTCTGGCATTTTATGAGCCTGTGGTTTTGTGTTGCTGAGGGTAGTTATCCCAAAGGCAGGCACCCACAAATTAAATTATACCAATAAATTGGTACTTAGAATTCCTGTAGTATCTTTCTGGTTTAGTTTTCTTTGTATCACATTACTGTATTTCACCAGGTGTTCACCCTAATGTTTGTGTCCCAGGTACAATGGAGCTGCTCCTCAGTGTTGTATCTTGTGCTAGATGCCCGATGTCATCAGAGATACGCCTTAATCATCTGTGCTGCTGTCAGAACCTGAGGGAGGTGGGAGGCAGAACAGAACACAGGATAAGAGCACTGACTGCCAAATTGGAAATTGATGAGTTTGAATCCTGGCTGTGCTCTTATCTTGCTGTAAGACTTAGGGCTGGTCATGCAGTCCCTCTCTACCTCCGTTTCTGTATCTGTCAAATAGTGAAGATTAGAACCCCTTTCCAATAGGGTTTCTGGGAGGGCTAAATGAGATGATGCTTACTAAATGGTCAGTAAGTGTTAGTTTGTTTTGTTCTTTTTAATATTATTAGTGCTATTATTGTTACTAAGTGGTTAACAAGAGGCGAAGATGAACTATAGGACGCTGTTGCAGCCACTTTATAAGCCTTTGGTAAATTGGTGGTGGTGGTTGACACCTTCACATCGCAACACTGACTGAGGGTTCTAAATGCCAATCTTGTCATTCATGTGTGCGACCCAGCAGATCAGCTGATAGTGTCCCTTTCCCTTTCAGCCTGTGACTGTGACCCCAGGGGCATTGAGACGCCACAGTGTGACCACTCCACGGGCCAGTGTGTCTGCATTGAGGGTGTTGAGGGTCCACGCTGTGACAAGTGTACTCGAGGGTACTCAGGGGTTTTCCCTGACTGCACGCCCTGTCATCAGTGTTTTGCTCTTTGGGACGTGATCATCGCTGAGTTGACCAACAGGACCCACCGATTCCTGGAGAAAGCCAAGGCCTTGAAGATCAGTGGTGTGATTGGGCCTTACCGGGAGACTGTGGACTCAGTGGAGAAAAAAGTCAACGAGATAAAAGACATCCTGGCCCAGAGCCCAGCAGCAGAGCCACTGAAAAACATCGGGAATCTCTTTGAGGAAGCAGAGTAAGTAGTTAATGTGCTAGAATAACAATTCAGAATATTGTTGCAACTCCACGACTAAACAGCAAAGAGATCCTGGCATGGGATGACCGGTTTTCCTTCCATCAGAAGGCGTGGTTAATCCTGTGAGTGGAAGCAGATGCTGGCTGGACCATTCATTTTCCAACAGTCTGTACTCTGGGTGTTTGGGTGAGTGAATATTTGCACATCACTGGAGACTAATGTTCTTGAAGCAGTGGTATGGAATATATGCTTGTAGTCAGTGCTCCTCTTTGTAACTAACACTCTGAAGTACTAGAGTGGGAAGAACGTTGGATTTGGAGGCAGAAGAGGTATAATTGCATCTCAGTTCTGCTGCTTGCTAGACTAATGAATTTGGGTAAATCATTTTATCTCTGAGCCTCCATCTCCTCTCCTGTGAGTAGTGTGCTAGAGAGAGGGTAATAATATTTGTCTTTACTTTAAAACAAATTTTAAAAACCCATTGCTGTTGAGTTGCTCGTAACTCATAGTGACCCTATAAAACTGTTTCACAAATGGCTGTTAGAAGTTTTGCTACTATTGGGGACGTTCTGTTACACCAAATAAGACTCCTTATTTCCATATTTTGTGCTGAGCCATTGTACTGGTTCACTATTGTTTTTGTTAAGTGCCGTTGAGTCTGTTCCAACCCATAGTGATCCTGTGTAGGATTTCCAAGGAGCAGCTGGTGAGCTTGAACTGCTGACCTTGCAGTTCAAAATGACTGCAGTCTGGCACATTAACCCACAGTGCCATACCAGGACTCCTTGGTCCACTATACTAGTACTTTATTCATCTATTAATGACAACGCAGTTAATGAGTCATTTCAGCTCATGTAAAAGACTCAGGTGCAGCTCAGCTTCCTCAAATACAGCAGTCACGAGCTGGGAAGGAGGCCGTGTGTGAAGCCCACTGGCAATGAGGAAATGATGCTTGACCTGTGTGTCATGCCTCTGGTGTGTCCCTTGAGAACTTGTTAGAGAGAGATTACTGTCCTGAAATGGCTCTGTGTCTACCTTCACTAGTCGTTGAATTAAATAACTTATTATCTCAGGAAAACTGGTTTCATGCATCTGTTTGCAACCCAACACCCAAGTTTGCAGGTTTTAGGGTCCCAAATGGCTTTACTTTAAAATGTATAATATGAGATTTGATTATTTTTTTAAATTGTTACTTTCATGAGACATGGAAAAAAAAAAAATGAAAGCCTTCTGTGATTTAGCAGATTCACAGAAGCAAAAGGAAGCTATGTATATTCCAATGTCCTCGGAAAAGAAAGTCATTGGGTTTTTTAAAGGTAACTTAATCTATCAAATCAGACGATCTGTTGAAGTGTTTTTTCTTTGAAGTGAATCATGCCACTCTCACAACCTTGGAACTCGTGGTTCTAATGGCTCCCAACCTTTCAGCACCTCCAGATTTCCCAGTTTTGATACTGACAAGTATACCCCTGAGAAGATGGTTCAGTTAAGTAATCTAGTAGTACCAGTACTAAAGTTTTCTCACATAGTACTTTCTCCATAAATATGTGTATCTACATATGTATATATGTATACACAGACACACAAGGGTGAGTCAAAAATTATCCACACTCTAGCTGTAGAATTTATTTTACTCAACTTTTAGAAAAGACAAATCCATCATTTTTGACATAGTCTCTTTGCTTTTCAATACATTTTGCCCATCTGTCAACAAGCTTTTGTTTTCCCTTTTCAAAAAAGGCTGTAGGCTAAGCTGCAAGCCCCAAATACACTGTACCTTGACTTTTCATAGAGGTGACTCTATCCTCGAAGGGCTTCCTTCAGGGGACCCAACAGGTGAAAGTCCGATGGAGCAAGATCAGGTCTATAGAGAGGATGCTTTGACATCTCAAAACAAAGTTTTTGCAGAGTGTCACCAATGTGGGCAGAGGTGTGTGGACATGCATTGTCATTCAAAATCACACCACCCTTGGAAGGCAGTCCTCTATGTTTTAATCTGAGGTTTAGGCTTCACCACTTCAGTGAGCATCTCACTGTAATGAGCACTGTTGATTGTTGAATGTTTTTCTTACTAGTGCTCCATTACTGGCCCTTGAGAATCCCAGAAAACTGTAAGCATCAGTTTTCCAGCTTGATGGTTGACTTTTGAACTTTTTCTTGGTTGGCAATTGATGTTTCCATTCTATATTCTGCCATTTAACTCAGGCTCCTAGTGAAGTATCCATATCTCATTACCAGTAATGATTTTTTTAAAAGAAACTTTTACCTTCCTTTGAATACTGGTCCAGATTTTGTATGCAAATGTCCAGATGCATACAAAATGTTTCGGTGCTTACCTCCCTCAAACTTTTCTAAACCCATCTGTGGTGGATTATTTATTAGTCAGAACCATGGCTGATTTGCAAATGATTTGTCACAAAACCCACTGTCACTCATCTATTGGACAGAGGCATTTCACATGCATGCTCAATCTTGATATCAGCCATGGATATGGACTGGCATTTTAATATAACTGAGTGCAGATAATTTTTGACTCTCTCTTGCATATGTGTGTGTGTGTGTGTATATATATACGCATACTGTGTGCATGCACAGCAGTGTACAAATTGTTGTTGCTAAGTGCCATCGAGCCAAATAGATGCCTCAAATGTGACTTTAGAGAGAGACAAGAAGATACAGAACAAAGAGCAAAATAGTTGGGTTTCGATTTCAAATGAAGTATTGTGAAAGTTAAATGTGTATCATGCAAAGGGGGCTTCAAAAAAGGTCATGGAAAAATGGCATTCAAAGAAAATGGAAATTTTCCATGAAATTTTTGAAGCCGCTGTACTAGCTCTCAGTAGATACTGCCTTCTTGCTTAGGAAAAGTGAAAGGACTGTTTGCTGGGGAAGACGGCTTCTTTAATGGAACTCTGCTTGAAGGGGAGCGTATGTAACACTCCATTGTCTTTCTGGTGGGCTGTTGGGCTTCCTGTCTACATGTTCCATCTTGAAGGAGACTCCTGAGGCAGTTTGGAGACCGTTGTTGGCAGTTTGGAGGAGGCGTAATTGTACACGAAAGTCCTTTTAAGTTTGTGATTACGTGGGCTGGAATTTGGAACGCCACCTTCTGACATGTGTGTGTATTGCAGCCAAGGTTTGGAATCCCTCTAGTCTCTATAGTGCAGCTAAGTGCAACTCCTCTGTTCTTCTTCAAAGTCTCTGAAGAAAGAAAAATGTTAGATTGAATATAATCTCTTATGATAAGGAGAATAAAACCAGTACTTAAAATGAGTTGTTACAAATTACTGAATTCTTTTGATATGACACAGAACAATGACTACGGCATTAGTTGTTATTTTTGTTAAGTGCCGTTGAGTCAGTTCCAACTCATAGTGACCCTGCATAGGGTTCCCAAGGAGTGGCTGGCAAGTTTGAACTGCCAACCTGGTGGTTCAAACTGACCTTGCAGTCCAGTGCTTTATCCCACAGCGCCGTTTTACAGTATTAATAGACTATGTAAAAACACTTTTTAATTCCTGTTTGGTTATTTTACATAAGTAAACACATCGTTCTCTTTATAGGAAGTTAACCAAAGATGTTACAGAGAAGATGGCTTTAGTAGAAGTGAAATTATCTGACACGGCTTCACAGAGCAGCAGCACAGCCCAAGAACTGGATTCTCTGCAGACAGAGGCAGAAAAGCTGGACAACACAGTGAAAGAACTTGCCGAACAACTAGAATTTATCAAAAACTCAGATATTCGAGGTGAGCATTTTTTGTGCCTGTTCACACCTGGACTATGGATTAAACTATCGGTCTAACCATTTAATACAGTGCTTTTAGAAAAGAAAAAAATGTATTCTAATTTTTAAATTTGACTCAGTGAATCTTTGGCACACATGAGAATGAAAGTCCCCATTTTACAAATGTGGGAGCTAGAGTCCAGAGAGGTAGTAAGTGATGTAGAAAAGGTCCCACGGAGTGAGTGGCAGTCGTTCCATTAGGACTTCAAGCATCTGTTTTCTAATTTCTCCAGGGAGTTTTTCAGCACCATCCTCCCCACCACGCTTTTGTTGAACAGAGGCCCTTCTGAGCAGTGAAGAAGTTGGGTTCATGATTCTGCAGATCCTTCCACGTTTCAGAATGCACTTAGGAAAGGACTATTGCAAACCCTTCACTTGTTGCTGTCTCAGGACATAACAGAACCCAAACCAAACCCATGAACCCATGGTCATTGAGCCAACTCCAGCTGCACCACCAGATCTCCTCACCGCCCCCATCCCCCACCCCCACAAAAAACAAAAAAATGTGGCAACGTCTTGTACTTGTTTTGTACACAGTGACTTTCGTTTTTTGGGGTTTGCTGGGTCCCTAAATCCAAAAGACATCATATTGTTTTTATGTATGTTGTAGCCATTTGCATGGTGGTACGCTGTGGAGTAGGTTCCGACTGATAGTGACCCTGTATAGAGTTTCCGAGGCTGTAGTTCTTTATGAGAGCAGAAAGCTTCATCTTTCTCCTGCAGAATGGCTAGTAGTTTCAAACTGCTGACCTTGAGGTTAGCAGCCCGACTCGTAACCACTACACTACCAGAGCTCCATAGCCATTTGCATGGGTTCAGTTAAATGATTAGGTGCCCTGCTGGCACAGTGGATTAAGCATTGGGCTGCTAACCAGTTCAAACCCACCAACTGTTCTGTGGAAGTTTGCTTCTGTAAAGATTTACAGCCTCAGAAACCCTACAAACTCTGTCCTGTAGGGTCACTATGAGTCGGAATCATCTCCATGGCAGTGGGTTTGGGTTTTTGGTTTTGTGAAATGCCTGAAAATGGGAAAAACCACCTGGATGTAACAGGCTACCAGACACTAGCTATTTAGAATGATGTGGCTGGTTGGCTGGTTGTGAGATTAATGTCTGTGAGATTGAGTTGAGTTTTCACTTTTGGTCTGGATGTTTGATTAAGGAGACAAAATATATTCATTGATCATGAGAGAAAAACTATACTTATACATTAAGATTTTCTTTCTTGAATTTTCAAGCACAATTGTACAGTAAGTTTAGGGCTGCAGATGCTAAATGTGGGTGTTGCTTGGTGAGGAAATCA